CTGGGCCGATCTCGCGCGCGTGTAGCGCTTCAGTCAGAAAGCCTTTTGTATTGTCAGGTGTATGGTGTCGAGCATGTGCGGGGATCTGCATCGAGGGCATGGGGTAGCTAATTGGCTTTGGCATGTGACGAGAGGGTATAAGGTCGTCTGCGTGTACTGGGGTATGCCATCTAGCACCTGCGCAGTGCGTCAGCGGCGTCAGCGGCCTTAGGGGAGGGATTCTGGTGGGCAATACATGGGGCTACCTTGGCCGAGGGCATGAAGAGGGCTTGGCTGGCTGACACGGGGAAGACAAACCGTAATGTCCAACGGCAGGGGGGGGATAGGGGAGCCTTGTGCGGCGTTGTTGCTTGCTTGCTGTGTGTTTGCTTACGAGTGCTTGAGTAGATTGGCTAGGTGTAGCTGGATGGGTGCTTCGATCGCCCCGACACATTGTCAGCTGAGCACATGTGACACGCCTATCTGTGAGAAAGGTTTGGGGCGGGGTGACAGAGCAGTTGGCCGCGATGCTATTGTATTGCAAGGGGAGGAGCATGCAACGGGGGTGGGCTCACTGCAAGCTGTACAAACGAAATATGCCGAAGAAGTTGGTGGCGTTCCTTAAGGAGCTCGGGAACGAAACGAACAAGGCCAACACCGTTACCACAGTATTGGAGAAACTAAGGGCCATAGACGACTTGGAGATTGGATGGGATGCGATGAAGAACAAGAACAAGGGATGGACGTGGTCTGGCTTGGGCGCAACAGAGTTTCGCAACAAACGTTTCCTATATGTGGAGGCGGGAGGGGGGTAGCATAGTTGCACGGGTGCGGAGCTTGTGTAGCATATTGCACGTGCTCATGTTTGTTGGCCTGGAGTCGAGGTTTTGGCGGGGCATGTATCTGCGTCGGTTCAGGGTGTCGGGCCTGGTGAGGGGTCCAAGGCTGGCCGGGGTAGGCGCGATCGGAGTTAGTTGATGTGGAGGTTCAGGGGGGGCCTACATCGAAGAGCGGACGGGCCCTGGAGGCGAGCTCATGCCAACGGTGTGTCCAGGCGAGTTGCTTGTCACAGCTAGGTAGTCGGTAGATCACCATATCAGGGCGAGGGTGGGGCAGACTCGAAAGCCTGGGTGGTTCGGCGGCCCGATCTTGTACGAGAACGCGGTGAGCTTCAGGACCACGTCTGTAACCCTGATCATAGACCCCGAGACCAGGCGGACAGTCTGGGATGAGCTCGAGGCTCGGGTCATGACGGAGGTGGACGTGCCCAAGCTTGACCCGGGCTCCCACGAGAGGGTCTTCAAGGTGCTGGCCGCTACGCAGCGGGTGCCAGCGCGGTTGTCATTCAAACCAGCCGCATCAGTCTAGTCAGGGTGTGCCTGGAGCTCAGGAATGATGATGAGGGGAGGGTCTGCGAGGAGTTAGTGGGTCATTCGGGGGAGGGGCATGGGCAGCATGCTTGTTGGTGCATGTTAGTGTGACGTGGGACGTGGGAGTGCTCGAATGGACGTGAGGAGGGAGGGAGAGGAGGAAGCTGGGATGATGGGGACCACGCCTGTGTTGCCGCTTTGTTTCCCGCGCTTCATTGTCTAGCGCGCTGGCGGGCAGTGCTGGCAGTAGCGAGGAGGGGTGCTGCCCGACAGGTGCTCAAGAACAATGGGAAGCCGGCGCACATCGTGGACATAGGGCTCCTGTCGTGCCCCCGCTTGGACAAGGCATGGGGTGAATGCCCGCTCCTGCCAGGTCTGCGCTTCTCTTTGCAGTTTAATGCTATCATATCTCCTTGCAGCGCGAGAATGCGTTAGGTCCAACATGCCCCTTTGAAGTTTGGTGCCATCATGTCTCTTCGCTGTCGAGGTGCAACAGTGTCATTCTGCATAGCTGTGTGCCATGTAGTGTCATCATAGGTCTTTTCCTTGCGCGGTTTGCACCCTACTGCTACATGTGGGTGGCCGTGTGAGCGTGAGTCTTTAGGTGAGGGCGTCAGTGCGTGGATGGGTGAGCTGGTCAGTGCGGGGGTCGGTGAGCTAGGCGGCGCGGGAGTAGCTCGGCGATTATTCTGTGCGCGCCGTTGGCGGGGCGTACTGGGATCCTCTCAGCGACTCGGCGGTCGCGTGAGCATTTAGCGTTCGGGGCCCATCGTGCCCAGAATGGTTTCTAGTGTATCTCGGGGGCCCCTTGGTGGCCCAGCCCGATAGGCGCCGCTGCATTAAATTGCCATGAGCGGCCTGAGGTGGGTTGCCCCTCCTCAAGTCAGTGTCCGACCAGCGCTTGCAAGACATGTGCGACGAGTACGTTGAGAAGCAGGAAACCACAGAAGTGAAACGAAAGCTCGCTCGCCAGAAAGCAATTAAGAAGCTAGAAGCGAAAGCACAGGCCCACGAGACAAAAGTGGCACAGACTAAACGGAGAGAGCAAAAGAAGCAAGCCAAGCTCGAAGAGGCCAGCCGAAAGAGAAGCACGCCGGTCAAGAGCAAGCTCCCTGCGAAAGTAAAAAAAACACCTCAGCTGAAGAAACAACGGGTGCCATTAGCCTTGGTCGACAATGATAATATCGGGAAGAAGACTGACTACTTTCAGCACATCGCGAATTGCATCGAGTACCTCAGGAAACTGAACCCTAACCTTACGGACATCTTTGAGTCGCTGAAGCAGTGTGCCTTGTACATGGGCGCAAGCGGGCCACCGTGGGAGGGCCCTCCCCCCACTGGCGGTGAGCCATATGTAGCGCGAGGGTTCAGGAGGGGGTAAAGGAGCGGGCGGGCGCGGGGTGGACCGAGGAGGGGGGTAATTGATCAGGGGGGACGGCGGAGGAGGAGGAGGAAGAGGGAGACAGGCGGAGCGTGGATGAGGAAGGGAAGGGGGGTTGTAGGGCCCTCAGGGGATGGCAGGGGCCGACGTGAACTGACCACCGTGCAATGCGCATCTTCCATCCTGCCCCCCCGCTCTCCATGCTCTTTGGGCGGGTCCCTCCCCCCGCTGGACTAAGGGCACCCTCTTGGCATAGCCTTGTATCTCGGCTCGCGAGACTCAGCGGGGCCGCATCGATACTTCGAGGTCCTAGATCGCCCTGCGCCCCGTCAGCCCCCTCTACTTTCCACGTCCACCCTATCCTTTCCTGCACTGCCGCCCTTGCCTACCGCGCTCCAGTCCCCTCCCCCCCCCTGGGTCCAGCAGTCGGGAGGCACCGTCCCGCATCCTGCCTGCATTCCTTCCATGTCGGTGCCCTCCATCCGCCCTTGCCTGGTCACCCCTGTCTGAGCCTCTGTCGTCAGCGCCCTTGCATGGCATGAAACGCTTTTGGGATAGGGCCCCTGGGAGGACTGACGAGCTGACCCTCACGACCAAGACCGGCACCAAGGACTGCAAAGGCTGGGCGGCCTTGAAAGTCCAATTCAAGGTGTACGTGTACAACTTCAGCAAGTTGAAGCCGAGGCTCCATGACCCGCCTCCTCTCAGTGGGGGGGGGGGCGTCGGATTCACGGGGGAGGGCTTGCCCGTGCATTCAGGAGGGGATGGGGGCAGGAGGATAAGGTAAATTAGGGAGGGGAGTTGAGGGGAGTTGATATAGGAGGGGAAGAATCCATGAGGAGGGTAGTAGTTCAGTGTAGCGTAGCGTTCACGGGCAACATGAGTGCAATTGCCCTTGCTCGCACGTCGGCTCACCCCCCTCCCGCTGTGCCAGCAAGCATCGTCCGCTTGTTTCCCCAGGGACTCGGACCCCGATGCCTACGATCTCTTGGACCTGCGCGGCGACCAGGCGGACCAGGCGTACATCATGACCGATGCGGATGCTATTGAGCAGCTGGCCGCTGCTGCATCGACGGCGTCCTCGCTATTGGAGGGCTGCTCGAAGACTTCATTCTACACCGTCCCTTTCCAGGAGGGGGCGGGTGTCGTCGGGGCTTCTGCATTTTCTTTGTTGCTCATCCTCTCCTTCCGCGTCGAGTCCGTTCATGGGCATCTCGTTGGGGTCAGCGCGAGGTGTGAGCCAAGCTAACTGTGCGTATATGCAGGCTGCGTCGTAACATTGTCCGCCGCCTTTACCAGCGCGCGCGGTAACTGCTGCAAGAGGGGAGGCGATGTCGGACGTTGCGGCGGCAGCAAATGAGATGATCAGCGGCCTCGTCATGACCGCAGTGCAGCTTGGAGGCACATGGCCATCCGCAGAGGCCGCTCACTCGGCCTTCATTGACGCCGCGATCTCCCGAATGAATGCCCTTGTGCCAACCACGTGGGATCCTGCCTTAGAGATCATGAGTCAGGTGGTTGAGCATGGGAAGACCGAGCACTTCAAGGGTACGCCGTTCGCGGTGCTCATTGATGCTGGGATTAGCCGCAAGTTCATCTTTGTCGTGCGCTTTCAGTTGTTGTGCTATTTATGTTGTCACATTGGTAAAGTCATGGTATGCGTCATGAAGGATGGCACGGCTACGGCTGCATCATATGTATCCACGTTCAAGGCGCGCATGGGGTGGGGGGGGTGGGGGCGGGGGGCAAGTGTGCACCGTGATGTTGTAGAGGTGTCGTGCGGTCGTCAAGCAGTAGCAGAGGGAGTGGAGCGACTCCAGGGTAGGGTGCTCGCTTGCATCTCGTTGTGTCCCGCCCTCCTCAGCAGCGCGTCTTCACTGAGCTAATGGGCATCCTGGTGACGAAGCCTGAGGTCAGCGTGCCAGAGTGGCTCTTGCTCGACATCAAGGAAAGGGGGGTGCATTGCGGGGCGGCGGCGACGGATGGCAGGATCTGAAGGGAAAGGGGGGAACGGTTGGAGGGGGGCGCGGATGACCACGAGGACGCAGCTGGGGATGGAGATGAGGAGGTGGAGGAGGAAGAGGAGCACGGGTCGCGGTAGGTGATGGGGAGGGCACGGTGGGCATTAGTTAGTTGTTGCATCCCCTGGTTTTGGACTCATTTCAAGTGTCAGGCCAACTCCCCCCTCGGATTCCACGGGCCCAGCCGCGCCCATGAGCCTCATGGTCGTCAGGACCTCTCCGCTCTGTCTGGTTGCCCCCGCCCTGGAG